ACAAATCTGAATGGAGTTGTATGAATATAGGAAACAACAAAAGTACATTAGTGAGTATATAGGCTGTTTGAAATATGTTTTTTTTTTTTTTTTTTGGCTTGTTTTTCTGTAGGATGTCACTACTTTAACTGGCGTTCCAGAGGAGCATATAAAAACTAGAAAAGTCAGGATCTTTGTTCCTGCTCGCAATAACATGCAGTCTGGAGTAAACAACACAAAGAAATGGAAGATGGAGTTTGATACCAGGGAGCGATGGGAAAATCCTTTGATGGGTTGGGCATCAACGTGAGTACTTTAGTTTAATGTGAATATTGTCAGCTCTCTTTTTCTATGTAGATTTTTATTTTAAATATGATTTCAAACTCCTTTATGTACAGTATACTTAGGACAGTACTTTTTGATGCTGTGCTCTTAGCACAATAAACTGTGACATGGTCTTTTTCAGAGTACTACTTATTAGATAAAAATGACTGAGTTTGAGAGCACTGTTATGGAACTCAAAGCTATGTATACAGTAGTCCCCCCTTATCTGCAGTTTTGCTTTCTACGGTTTCAGTTATCCGACGGACGGTACAATAAGATATTTCGAGAGATGGAGAGAGACTACACTTATATAACTTTTCTTACAGTATATCATTATAATTGTGCAATTTTATTGTAACTTATTGTTAATGTCTTACTATGCTTAATTTATAAGTTATACTTTATCATAGGTCTGTGTGTTTAGGAAAATACAGGATTTGGTACTATTCGTGATTTTAAGCATCCACTGGCATTCAATAGGAGTTTTGGAACTTGTCCCCCCTCCTCAGATAAGGGGGAATACTGTTTTATCCAAGATACTGTATGAATAATATTTGTAATATAGTGACACTAACTTGTCTTAAAATTACAATGAACTTCTTTGTAATATTTTATACATATATATAAAATATATATATCTTTTTTGTTTGGGGGGGTTAAGAACTAGGTGAATTTAGAAATTAGCTAACTTGAGGGAAACTTGTAAGTTCCTGAGATATTGTGATTAATAAATTACATTTTATTTTTATTTATTTATTATTTTCTTTAGAGATGGGGTCTCGCCCCCTTGCCCAGGCTGGAGTGCAGTGATGTGATCCTAGCTCACTGCAGCCCTGAACTCCTGGGTGATAAAGCAGTCCTCCCACCTTAATCCCCCAAGTAGCTGGGAATATAGGTACATGCCACAGCTCCTGGCTAATTTTTTTTATCTTTTTGTAGAAATGGAGCCTCGCTTTGTTGCCCGGGCTGGTCTCCAACTCCCGGCTTCAAGCGATCCACCCACCTCAACCTCGAAAAGTACTGGGATTACAGGTGTGAGCCACCACGCCTGGCCATTGAATTGCTTTTTAACAGTGTGTTGGAATAAATTCTTGTGGTACTAATGAAGTCAGTGACCTAATTCTCCATAATGGAATAGGGTCCAAATGTTAAATAGAAGGGCTGATTCCAGTTAAATTTAAAAAGCTGACATTAGAGAAAACATTAGGCAGATAAGCTAGAAAATTGTCATTCATATTGAAACTCTTAGAACATTGTATGTGTCCAGTCTCCAGTTGAAGGTAGTTATAAACTTAAATTAGAAAATGTAGACTGTCTTGTTTTAGAAAAGTATAATATGCAACATCATTTCCTGTTGATTACTTGGGAGACTTTTTTTTAGAAAACATCATGTTGCAGTTTAAATATAATTATTTTATTAGGCAAATGATATATAGGCACAATATTTTAGTTTTCTTCTTATGTTGCAGTTTAGTTCATTTATTAAAATGAGAAAAAAGTCAAACAATACAAATTCAATTAGAACATCATAAAAATACAAATGTACTTCCACAGATCTACAAATTTGTTATAAGATTAGTTATAATTCAATGTGTTATAAAATTAAGAGAACCAAAATGAAACACTTTGCTAAGAATATTCTGCTTTGTCATACCACCTAAGTAGAGTCTGGAGCACTCACTGGTAATAAAGCTGAGAAATAGATACTTATCCAACTTAGTCTTTGTAGTGAATCTGTATATGTGAGATGAGGCTGCCACGTCATGGTTATAAGGAAGGGATGGAATCAGCTCATCTCCCTCGAAGCCCATAGTTGTCATGTCTCCTGTAGAAGTAGTATAAGACCTGGCCTGGAAATTGTTAGAAAGGGAGCTACCAAATGGAAAACTGAATCTACCCAGTTTCTGGAAAACAACAGATGGAGGAACATTTGGCTTCCAAACTTTTTCATACATGAGATAATTTTCTTAAGTAATCTTGCTCTGGTGGGTTGTATATTCTGAGTGCTTGTCAAGAAAACAGAAGTCTCCCATTAACTCTAACTTCAAAGAATAAATACCAGGTCAGATTTCCCAATGCACCTTACTGTTTCAAGAGATTCCTGGTGGTGCCTGCATCAGTAAGTATGGTCATATATAGACAAAAGCAGTGGTTCTCAACTGAGGGTGCTTTTGTTTCCTTAAGACATTTGCCAGTGTGTGGAGACATTCCTGGTTGTAACAAGTGGTGGCTTCTGCTGACATCTAGTTAATAATGGCAGTGCTATGAGACACAAGACTGCCCTCCTTTGCAACCAAGAAAGAATTTTCTGGCCTCCCAAAAGCAGAAGATGCTGAGGATTAAAAGCCCCAGTATCAAGGAGAATACATTGAGACCTTTTTTTTTTTTCCTTACAAAAACGCAATATCCCCACCAATGTGAGATGTTAGATCACATTTTTGTACAAGGGTGGTTGTGGTAGGTGGAATTCTAAGATGCCCCAGGATATCTGCTTTTTTGTTGCAACTCTAATCATCCTCTTTCATAAGGTATGGCTACGTCCGTGACTTGTTCTAGATAGTTGATTATGGCATAGGTGGGGGGATGCTCTCTGGGGATTACCTTTCCTTATATCAGAAACAATAGGAATCTGTATTTTCTTTCTATCTTGTGTTTGCTTTCATAATAAAGTGATTTAGAATATCCCCCCGTTCATGGAAATTTTGCCCTGTAGTCTAAGGCCTTTCATACGTAATTGAATATTTTTGTTCTTTTTTAAATTTTAGATCCAGGGGGTACATGTGCAGGTTTGTTACATGAATGTATTGGGTGATGCTGGGGTTTGGGCTTCTAGTCAACTCATCACCCAAATAGTAAACACAATGCCCAATAGGCAGTTTTTCAACTCTTGCCCCCTCTCCCTCTCCTCTCTATTGGAGTTCCCAGAGTTTATTGTTTCCATCTTTATATCCATGTGTACCCATCGTTCAGCTTTCACAAATGAGAACATGCAGTATTTTGATTTTCTGTTTCTGCATTAATTCACTTAGGATGATGTCCTCCAGCTTCATCCATGTTGCCGCAGAGAACATGATTTGATTCTTCTTTATTGCTGCATAGTATTGCATGATGTTTATGTATCACATTTTCTTTATGTACCACATTTCTGTATCCAATCCATTGTTGATGGACACTTAGGTTGATTCCTTGACTTTGCTATTATGAATGGTTTCTTTTTGATAAAATGAGTTCTTTTCCTTTGGGTAGATACCCAGTAGTGAGACTGCTAGGTCAAATGGTAGTTCTGTTTTTAGTTCTTTGAGAAATCTCCATACTGTATTCCATAGGGGTTGAATTGCTTTACATTCCCACCATTAGAATGTAAGCATTTCCTTTTCTCTGCATCCTTGCCAACAATAGCCATTCTGACTGGTATGAAATGGTATCTCATGGTAGTTTTGATTTGCATTTCTGTGATGATTAGTGCTGTTGAGCATTTTTCATGTTTATTGGCCATTTGTATGTTTTCTTTTGAGGAGTAGGTGTTGGTATCCTTTTTATTTTATGTTTCACATAATATATGGAGTCATTTGGTAAACCACAGGCTTCTAGAAGCTGAAGGAATTTATAAGGAAAAACATTTGTCCCTATCCAGTGATTGAAATGTTAATGATTACTGTTTTTCAATCACATGAGATTTTTACATGTTCATCTATTCCCCAGACTCACTGTTGTAATACATTCCCAGCAACATTCAGTAATAAATCATTATTTGAGTACTTGTGCCTTATATACTCTAAATTGTTTATGGGTAAAATATTTATATAAGAATATACATTTGAGTGGTATAGAGGAGAAAAAGTAATATCTTCCTCACATCTATTGCAAAGTTTGTGGCTGAGACATCTGTAACAAAAGATAGTTTAACAAGAGACTCTAGCATACAGTTTCATTTTGTGTAAGTTTTATGTGATACAGGAGCCTTCAGGAATGAAGACCCAAAGAAACAGGGAAATCTGTGTATTTTTGTGCTTAGTTTTGAGGAAGAGTAGACAGTCATACAGAAAGATGGTTGGACAGAGTTTATGATCTAATGATCATAAAGTAGGAAGAACTTAGCCAGACCTGTTTGTTCAGATTCTTGTCTGTGTCTCTGTGTCTTCAGAAATGAGGACATTCCGTTCCTCCTGTTACAGGGTGGACAGTTCTGGAATGAGGGTCTTAGGACTGACTTCAGAAGGTCAGATAATTCTGTTATGTCCTACTTCAGGGGAGAGTGTCAGAGAGACCTTCCTGCTTCTGCTGTTTTCTCAAATGCCAAGCTGCCATATTTTGGGGATACTGTGTCCTGAAGACCATTAGTGGGTTGTTTAAATAAATAAAGTTTTACTTTGCTGTGCTTGTACAAAGGTTCACACAATCATTATTATAGTATTGCTTAGTCTGGAAATAGCATAATTAAATTTTGAAATATGTGGTGATTTAATACTCTGATGCTTTAAGACAAAACTGTAACCTACTATGCATAAAAATGGAAATGCTGTTTTTATTACATATTGATTGAAAATGAGATATACTACATGTTTGGGAGGTAAAGTTCTTTTCAAAACGTAGTTTTGCCAAAGTAAAACGTTTTTTGAAGCAATAGACCCTGTCTGCAATTGGTTTATCTGAGACGTTATTTTGAATCTTGAATATTTTTAAAAAATATTCATTACTTGTTTTTGCTCTGATGTTAAGAAACAACCAGTAGCATGAAAAAATGTAAGAAAAAAATTATTATTTAAAATATTTACTTATTTGATTTGATTAGAATAGAGAATTGCTACTCTTTTTTTTAGCATTTTTAATGACACAAAAATAGTATATAATTTTACTGCTTGAACATATTGAATTCTGACTTCTTTTGGTGAGATATTTTAAAGCTTTTTATAAAATTGTTGGAATTGTAAGCTGAAGGTTTTTCATGATCATCTAATTAAATTTTATCACTTAATTAAAAA